TTTTCATTTTGTGTCAGTCTGATGGTTGTATCGTCTGTGCAGCAGGGGTATATAGAAGTATCATGCTATGTTTTTTTAATGTTACACTGAAATGTGAAACAACATGATTGTAAGTGTAAAACAATATGATTATCCATTTATTTTTCTGGAAAAAAATGTAATGCATATTCTGTAAATCATTGTGTTCTGACTAATAAAACATATCAAGATTTAAAAAAATTAAAAAGCCATTTTGAAAAAAAAGGTTGGTGTTTGCTCATTCTGTTTTTGGAGAGTAGTGCGCATGCCTGACATGTCGCTGCCCTGCATGCGATTGCACGGAAGCAAGGAGAGTCACGTGACCAAAATCTGAATCAGTCACCAATTTTTGAGAGTGAGCATTTACATTGCACAAATCTGTGAAATTTTTGCTGGCATTTCACAAAAACCTTGCAGTGTCAATGCAGTTTACAGTATATTCTTATACGCCTACTTTATTGTCCGTATTGTGATGCAATGACTTTTTGAAATCAGTAAACAACTTACACAAGGAGTGCAGGTATAAGAAGTGTGTCATTTCCATTGCGCCAGGGAGATTTTTATGGAATTTGTATTTATTAGAATATACAATTCTCATCTTGCAATTTCTACAATAGTTTCTACATTATTTTTAGAGAGAGAGCTAAGATGGTTTACACCTCAAATCTAAATGGCACAATTCTAGCCATGGTTAAGTACCCATTGAATAACCTGCATGTTGTGAAGTGAACAACTACAAAAAGTACACATAAAACACAAGTAGAAGGAAAAAAACAAATAAAAGAAAAGAACACATCAGTGTTTGATTTGAGATGGATTCATAAGGTCAGGTTCTCTTATCACAACCTACCCCCACAGGGTTTACCTGCTACTGTACTGGTCTCCAAGATAATCCACTCAAATAAGATGTTCTCACTCCCACTCAATCATGAAAACAAGAACTTGCAGTCTATGTATTTCTGTACCTGTTGACTACTGCATTCTCTAATTCCCATAGGTTTAGTACAGGAACCACCCGGTTCTGATACTTTGCCTTTCTAGACAGGTTCTCTAGAACACAATTACCTCCTACTCCTAGAGATATTAGATGACTGTTGACTACTAGTATTTAGCCAGGTGGTCTCTACAAAGATGGCCTCTTAGAAGTTTTGAGTACAAGCAGTATATACAGTAAGCAAACTTTGGTTTACCCTTCTAATTAATAATAGTTCCAAACTTACATCTAACTATCATTCGGTAACCTATCTTACCTGAAAGATTACAAGGAAAGTTAATGAAGATTCTCAAGAAACAAAGAAATTTAAACAAATTTAAACAAATTTACTGCCCCCATCTTCACCTTTCATTCAGATTCCTCCCCAGAATTGGCATCTTTACCTGATACAAGTGTTTACTTCTTGACATAGCAGCCTTCCTCAAATCAACTCTCACCCTCTTCTTGCGCTCTACTTAGCTTCCAGCTTGAAATACCAGGTATCCATGGCAACTAACTACCAACGTAAGAAATCCAGTTGGTTTGAATTTAAAGGTCTTGAACCTTGTCACTGCATGGTTGCTATCACCTTACCCAAACCCTAGACCATGTCACATTCCTTGATGAAAAGGGGCTTCGTTTCAAGCTTAGGTGTGAGATCAACTGAAAACATTTGAAGAATTAGCATGTGATGTAATCAAAGAACCAGTTTCATTATCAATTTTAAAGATATATTTCAAAATGCCACCATCCTCCTTCTCCACCCCTCAAAAGAAAGAATATGTGTTATGGAAATAGTAATGAAAGCAACCCTACAGGTATGTTTTTAAAGAAACAATTTCTTTATCAATTTTAAAGATATATTTCAAAATGCCACCATCCTCCTTCTCCATCCTTCAAAAAAAGAAGGATATGTGTTATTACAATGTGGAAATGGTAAGCAACCCTATGTTTTAATATGTTTTGTGAAGAGGAATATTTTGGGGTTTTAGACATAAGTAGAGAGGATTAAAATTGGTAAAGAGAATTACATCTCAAGAAATATGTCTCGTTTTAGAACTTTGTGATGTAACTTGCCAAATGCCAACATGTAATATGATCATTGCAAATATGTTTCCATACAGCCCCGGTATGAAAGAAATCTATTCGATCATCAATAACAAAAGAGATTAAAGTGCATGAAATGTTATGTACAGATCAAATTCGAGAGAACCTCACAAGATACGTCACAGTGTTACCAATTTGTGTTTGATTGATCGCAATTTCCAAAATTCATAATTTCAAATTTTGTTTATTGGAATTTGCTCGAACTTTTAATGACCTGTCCTCTAACTTGTTGGCATCTACTTAAACCATAATCATGGTGGACTTCCCCTTTTAAGTGCCATGTTAATTCATGATAGGGCCTATTTTCAGAGCTCATCCGATCAATTACTTGAAAACATAGCAGGAGCTCGCTATACCACGATGGTATAGGCCTGTTATCAAAAATTCCTTGAACTCCTTCGTCACCTTTCATTCATTACATGATCATTACACAGCCTACTACAGTAATTAATGCCCCAAACATGTCTACATGTATATCCGGTTCCATCACCATCTACTCTTAATATCATACCTCCATCTGTCTCATTAACTTAAATAATTTTACATTAACATTAATAATAGGAGTACCTGTATGAAATGTAACCCTTAATTGAATTCAAGTGTGCGTTTCCACCTGCACTCACAGGGCTACGTGCAGGATAATTATTTCATCAGGGATCATCGAGAGACTCATCAAATCCCGGTGCTTAACATCTAACCTCACATCATATATTCCTGGAAGGATAACTCATTCAAATCCCCATCATAGTACTTAAACCTTACAGTACATGTATGTCACCAAGTTCAAATGCATGTCAATGGACATTTTTGATTTTAGAGTGTTATAGACAGAGTATTCCAATCAGAGACTTTATGATTTGGAATTTCTGATCACTTGTAATTTTTGTCATCACACTCATGATCTGAAGTTTACAGTATGTCACCGAGTTCAAATGCATGTCAATGGAGATTTCTGATTTTTAGAGTGTTAGACAGAGTATTCCGATCAGAGACTTCATGATTTGGAATTTCTGATCACTTGTAATTTTTGTCATCACACTCATGAACTGAAGTTTACAGTATGTCACCAAGTTCAAATGCATGTCAATGGAGATTTCTGATTTTTAGAGTGTTAGACAGAGTATTACGATCAGAGACTTTATGATTTGGAATTTCTGATCACTTCTAGTTTTTGTCATCACACTCAAGTCATGAACTGACATTTAAATGTGCATGAATTGATTATACATGATAAAGGTTGACCTTAGGTAAACTCACATCGAATTAGGAAAAGAAATGGGAGCAAAGAAAAACAGAGTGATTGGAATGAAGGATTTTAATTTTCTAATCATGGCTAGTATTTAATATTTGAAGAGCTTAATTCCGAAAGAATCTAAATCCACATTTGATGAAAATTGATTTATTGATATCAGAACATTGTTCACATACATGTAAGTACCCGTCTTTCAACAAAATTATTTACCTACTAAATTTTTGGGAGCAATTATGAAAACATACACCCTCTAATATCACTTTTCCATATAGAGGCCCGTTACCTGCATGTACAAAATCTGGTTAACAATGTCTTTTTTCTCTGAAGTTACAAAAATGGATTTAGCTCCTTTTGGAATTACATTTAACTATTTCTTTCACTGTCCAAGGAAGCCCTGGCTCAACCAAGATCATATCAATTACACAATTATTATTTTGATGATCTCTCAATCTTTTAGACTGAAACCCAGCCAGTCCCGAGCGCCCAGGAGTCAGGACATCACGCAATCATAATGTTAGTGCAACAGGCACCAGAGGTGTTAATGACTTCATCTCCACGGTAACGGCAAGCCTACGCTGGTTCATTGATTGGAGAGGATTTGCTAATATATCGATCGCAGGCGCTTAATCAAATTTTCATGCTTGCGCAGTTGCTCCCGGCTTGGGACATCAGCCTCCTCGCTAAACATTGTTGTTATTTCTTTTGACAAAGTGCTTGACGATTTACCTTGGAAACAACCTGGAGTAGGATTAATTGAATCACTGCAGCCGAGATGAATAGTGCATCATCTCCATAAAGACTATATCACTGCTGTATTTGCACAGTAATTGAAACCTCAGATATAGATGCTGTCATGGATTATTATAATTTTATAAACTTTGCTTGACATAAATATAACCTGCTTGAATTGATTGCTTCTTTTATGGCTGTCACACATTTTTTTTTTTTCAGATGAAAATACCTTCAATATCTTTTTTGTAATTCTTTCTACATTCTTAATGAGGCTAAGTAATGTGTTCATGTATTTCAGAAAATAGGTAGAATTAAAATAACTTGGTAAAGAATACTGAACATGGAAAACACGCGATAAACCTTTTATCAATTATAAGCTTCCCATGACAACCATGACAACATTTAGTCTTAGATAGAAAGTTAAACTACTTTCTTTTGGCTATAGACTTAAAGGTAAAGACCAGTTATGGTCATGCGATTGCATTGTGAAAGAAACGTTGTGGAATCGATCAGAAAAGGTTGATCATCTAGCATCTAGCATCTGCAAGGTTCTGGAATCATCAAAATGATAAGAAATTTGGCCCATTCTTCGTAAAGTTACAAGCACTATACACAGAAAGATGTATATGGAACTACCCTATATCTCTCACAGACCATGAGAGAAACAAATTTACCAAATATATGAATTAGTAGGCGGTTTCCCGGCAAATTTTTTATCATCATGTATTAGTCAAAACATATTCTTTCACATGATTGGTAATGAGAGCTTCCATTTCATTTCTTGAAATTGGGGCGTTTCCAATACTGGTCTTTACCTTTAACATCCATAGAAAATTGTTTGTCCATGTAACACATTTGGGTTTACTAAGGTAATCCTGCAAACAATTGTTTGATGAAAAAGAGGACATGAGTACTTACTTTTGCTCTTTCGTTGATATTAGCTCCAAGTTCCAGAAGCCTCTCTGCTACTACGAGCTTATTATCTTTCACTGCAAGCATCAATGGAGATACACCAGTTTCCTGAAATATCAAATCATATAACGTCATTTCAATAAAGATCAGTGAAAAAAATACACGGGGACTCGGGGTGAAATAGCCCCCGAAATGCCCAAAAGAGCCCCCGAAAATCAGAAAAGAGCCCCTGTAGATTTGCTTAGAGTTCAATGCAAAGTAAATTTAGGAGTGTTAATTTCATGCAGGCAAGCTTGAAAAGTAGCCACCAAAAAATACAATTAATTTTTTCCCTGATAAAGATACATCATTATAGTAAATATGTGGCTAGATGGAAAGGGGTATCCAAAGGCCTGGAAATAATCTAAAAAGCACATGATGTAATGCAAATATACATGAAATTGTGAATATACAACAGGGTGACAAAAATACCACCTGTACGACCAAGAACTTCTTGGTAGGACTGATACTGAGATTCACACACATGTATAAAGTAGGAAATATGATAATTTACAAACTTGATTATTTGACCAGGTGATTGCTTCTTTTTTTAATCCATTGACAACTGACAAGTACAAATATCAAACACAAATTTATTCAGAAATACTATGTTCATTTATGCAAATAATATGTATGTATACAAAACAATAAATATTTGCATTTACAATTTATCGCTTACAAACATGTACATGTGGGGCCATTACAGTAAAGGGTGAATGTTAAGTATTATGAGATCACTTTGCTTGGAAAGTACAAATACCTTTCTCCTTTTTTTTTTACAGTATTTCAAGTTTGTTCAAATAATTTAGTTACTATTTAACTGCTGTTATTCTCACTTATTTACTATTTTTGTAATATTCTGAAGGTCGGGCTTCTAGAAGACTAAAACATTTGGGGATTGAAGATTTATCTAGTAATTTGAGGTTATTGCTAATCTCATCTCCAACTGACCAACTCAAAAAAAGGATCCAACATTTGTTTGAAGGAAAAAAAAAACTTATATTCCTCATATTTTGTTGTTATTTACCTACATGTACAGAACATGTAGCTGCCAATCACATTCTGGAGTGATTTGGCCTCAGGACCTTCCAAGTTATTATTCTTTACCACAAGTTATAAACAGGTATACCTTGAAAAAAGTTATATAAGACCACAAGGAGGTCCATTGTAATAGAGAACTATACAGTCTCAAAGAAATTTAATACAATCAATAATCGACCAGACCTACAAAAGCTCCACCTAGCGTCCATTCTTTCTTTATTGGCTTTTGACGTCATTTGCATAACAGTAACTGGGGTGCATATCAACATGATATACAATGCACATATAGCAAAAGACTAGACATAACAAGCAGATATATAGGCCTATACATTAGCCCATATTCTACGCAGAAACAAACTTGATGCAGGGCCTTTATTCAAAATAAAAATACGGTTAAACAAAGAAAGAAAGTTTGGGGGGTTTAAGTTTTGCTTTTTTAATTTAAGACCAGGGTGGGGTTCTACTTAATTATTGGAATACAGACCCCTGGCATTGTCTAAGCAAAATCTTAGCGAAATGTAGGACACAAAAAAAAGTGTCCAGAACACAAAATAAATAATAGTTTGCGATATTTATTACTTAAAAGATCTTTCTTTTTAATGACATATCTGAAGAAAGTTCAGCTAACAACATTAAGCTTCATTGACATTGTTTGTTTACCAGCTCCACACCCAAACAATGTGATTCTATCTCTGACTACAGGAATATGATTTTCTACAATTATACAGCTTGCGTTCCAATTTCGATACACATTTTTTGTGCCAATACATTTTGCTAAGCTAACGGTACATTTGCATCCCTTTATTCCAAGAAGAGAACGTTTACAGAATGAGTTACTCATTCACGTGCAACTGTGATATCTTTAAAATCATTTTCTGGAGCTCTTTGCCTCTTGGGGGGGGGGTGCTATTCACATCTCCATCTTAGAACTTTCGTTCTCCAGAGTTAAAGGTAAAGACCAGTTATGGTTGTGCGATTGCATTGTGAAAGAAACGTTGTGGAATCGATCAGAAAAGGTTGATCATCTAGCATCTAGCATCTGCAAGGTTCTGGAATCATCAAAATGATAAGAAATTTGGCCCATTCTTCGTAAAGTTACAAGCACTATACACGGAAAAAATGTATATGGGACTACCCTATATCTCTCACAGACCATGAGAGAAACAAATTTACCAAATATATGAATTAGTAGGCGGTTTCCCGGCAAATTTTTTATCATCATGTATTAGTCAAAACATATTCTTTCACATGATTGGTAATGAGAGCTTCCATTTCATTTTATAAAATTGGGGCGTTTCCAATACTGGTCTTTACCTTTAAAACTGCAACTCTCAAAACTTACTCAAAAGCCTCCAACTCGACAACCAGAAAGTCAGGTTCTTTTGGGGAGCCTGACAAGAAAGAATATCTACATGCACCTCTTTAACACAGAGTGGGGGGTAAATAAATCATTGCCTTATATGTTCCTTCCTGGCTCTGTTCAAGATCAAATTCATAATTTCATTTACCACCAGGACTGAGTGACTAGCACCCAGGGAATACCAACTTTTGCAGGTTCCCATCACTTACGAGTTAGATTTGAAGAGACCTGGGGGCTGGGGAGACTTGAGCCAATTTGGCAGTACTCCGAGTAAGATTGTGATGGTATTCCACAGTAACATGATACAATTATGGTAACACACAGTGGTTCCAAAATATTATCATAACGGTGCCATCACTCAAAATCATCAATTGAACACAGGGCATATCCCAACTTACATGTATTTACTTTTTCTAAATCCCTTTTTATCACTGATCACGATTTTGGGCCTCTCTTAATGAAGGAGATGTATGTATTTTGCATAGTTTGCAAGCAATGTTGATCTCTTTGGTAACAGAATAATAAATGAGGTAAACTGACAAAAGCGGTTCTAGGTGGGCTGGGGCACCGGCTCCCCTCTAGAAAAAATATGTTCTTTTAGAACTGTAACCGATTACTAATTTAGCCAACTGATTATGAAATACTCTAAAAGAAATTTCAGTGATTTCACTGTTCTTAGGGTTTCAATTGTGGGTGGAGCTGGGTAAGGTTTGCATATATCGTCGCTGTTTTCACGAAGTGACGGTAGTGGAAAAAAAATTGCATTCACTTTGCGTTACGATTTTCCTCACTACCATCACTTCGTGAAAACAAGGACAATATAATTTTTATACCAAAAAAGAATGAATTTCAAGAAGCAAATATCTTCATTGGGTTTGAATTGGGTTACAGGTCTTTTCATTTTATCATGCAATAATGACTTCACAAGTCACAACCAAATGTCGATCATTTAAAGACAAAAGCTTTTAAGTTGGATGGAAATTAGGAAGATACATGTACATGTACAGTATGGTCAATTTATGGAGGGGTGCATTGTAGGAGGGTACATATCTGGAATCATACCAGGGGTGTTTCACAAAACTTGTCACTAGTGACAAATAACAGTTTTGGTTATAAGCTAGTGAAATCCTTGCTTCTGATTGGTTATCAGCAGATTTATCACTGATTTTTGTCATTGAAAAACGGCTTTGTGAAACAGGTCCCAGATGCTCAGAACCAAAAGGGTATTAGAATGTAACTTCAGCGAGATCAGCTTAGAGCCTTAGACTGCATGTACAAAAATTGTAGGCCTACAGTATACAGCTTACCTAATGCAATAACTCATCTCACTTCTCTCTTTTCAATATCAATAGGGATTTTTTTTTTTTTTTTCACTAATTTTGTATATCAAGTATATTTAGGCCTACATGGCTACATTTCTTAAAGATTGTTTTCGTCTGATTCTGTTTCACAGCCAAAGGATGAGAAATCTGACAAAAATATCTAATTCTACATTAAGAAAGCCCTTTTGGTTCCTAATCTTGGCAGACCATATCAAGTAACAAGTCAAGTTTCAAGTTTATTTGTCTTCCAGAAATAACATGTAACAAAATATAATAGAGTATAATCATAACACCATATGAAATTATTTAGTGTCAACTGTCAAGAATGTATAAAACATTACCAGCAATCTAAGGACTGCTGTAGATGGCTTGGAAAATGGATGAAATATAAAGTTATACAATGAAAAGTATGATGACATGCAGAATAGTATGAAATATTAGTTAAATTAAAGACTAAAAACTACAATGTTTGAATTCACAACATGCCATGTGTAACTAATTCTAAAGAGAAGATGGATTGTATAATAGGAAATGATTTCATTTATTTGATTCAAACAGACTACTTTTAAATGTTGATATTCATGCAATTAATATGCTTGATCAATTAACAATAGAGAAGAAAAGTCTGCTCTATTTTGAAAAATTATTTATAAATTTCGATATTCAGATACCGGTATACAATTTATATGCTTGATCAATTAACAATATCCAAAGAAAAGTTTGCATCATTACATAAGACAATACAAAGATAAGTGATTAATAAATGAAAAAATGTAAGTAAAAAAGAACAAAATATATGGTTTACTGTAAATCACAGCACAATGGAGTATCAAGTTCAAACTTTCAAACTAAGTTAGACAAACTAAAATCAACTGAACTACATACATAGTCATAAACATTAAATAACTTCAAAGAAAATGGAATTGAAAAAAACATAAATCAAATAAAACACTCTGCTTCTTCTAATCAAAACTGTTTGAGACATGGCAGGCCAGCCCAATGATTTGTTTACCCATCATGTAAATAATATGCCTATTGTATAATAATTATGCCCAGCTCAGCTCTTTTAATAATTTAATATGATATTAATATGATATTAATATTATTATTCATATTAATTATGTAGGCCTATCATCTCTTGAATTCATCATACATCAACATATCTTAAAACAATATTAATATCTTCTATCTCCCACCCAGGGAGTTAAAAAGAGTAATTTTCTACGCAGGAGACATACCTCGTCAGTTATTGTTATCTCTGGGTCACCTTTCTCCACGGCCCGCAGCAGGGTCTCCACACTGCCCCATTCCCCCCGGAGGCTTAGGGCCAGCAGACGGCTGTACGTCGGCGTAGGCTGCGGAAGCCCCCCACCACCAGCTCCACCGCCACTGCTTGCACTCGAATTGACGGACACAGAGTCAGACATGTTGATATGTTTCCTCTGATCCTGCAACATTAATGATAAATAATCACAAACTTAAAGTTGTATCAAAGTTTCTTGATCATGGTGATGGTGGACAGCGATCTGTGCTCACGACAATGTCTGTAAACATTCCACTTGTCTGCGTAAAAACTCCATTATGTAAACACCACTTGACTTCCAATAAGTTATCATTCATTCATTCCGAACTCTTTTGGCTCCACGTCGCTTTTCCTCTGTTATCATCATGACTACGCCATAATTATCATCATAACTCCACAAAGTTTTGTTAGATCTGGAAAGGATAACATCCTGCAATTAGTACTCTCGGGAAAGTTTCGCGAATCTATAAATCCCCGACGTTTGGAAGAGAGAGAGCGCGACGGTCCTTCCACTACTACCACTCTACTACCAGTTGGCAACAAGTTAGTTTACATTGAGTGTATTGTAAGGACCTTGTACGGAGCACACGGGTGTTATCTTGTGGTATAGTCTGCGCGATGCGTGGGGCGAACTTCGCTGCTTTCAAGTATGCGAACTTCTGATTGTAATCACCATGTGATGATCGATCGCATAGACCCCATTTAAAACCATTTCCAAGATCAAATCACCGGGGAATAAGATAAGTTTCGTTGCCATGGTAATGTAAAGCGCCTTTTCTAGCCAGACGGAAAGGGTGTTCTCGGATCAAAATGATTTTCCCACGATTTGTGACGGAGTTTGATTGCAAAATTTAAGCTTTTCGTCTTTCGTGATGGTAAAATGCTCCAGGAAAATATTTATTGGCTACTTGAATTGACAGGCCTGAATACTTCAAACGCTATGTATTTGAAAAATTGAAACAATATGTAAACATGGAACTATAAACAGATAGTGGGGCGGAGAGTCGTTATGCAGGGGGGGGGGTACTGGTTTCAAACTAAAGAGAGAGAGAGAGAGAGAGAGAGAGAGAGAGAGAGAGAGAGAGAAAGAAAGATCAAGGCGAGCAAGTGGAAGAGAATGTGGAATGATGGTTGTATCATCATTTCATCGTTTTATTTTCTTCTTAGACTTCATCTTTCTCCATTTATTTCTGTTTAAATTGTTTTTCGATTCATGGGCGCATCCTATTAACTACCACTAGCGTAGCTAAAGTGGACAAGGAACCCATCCTCCCATAACTTTTTGTCGGTTGTCTTCACATTTGCAAAGGAAAGTTAGTTAGATAGATAGATAGATAGATAGATGGATATGATAGATGGAGAGAAAAAAGGGAAGGAGAGAGGGGAGCGGGGGAGGGGGGGGGGGGGTAATGAGCACTTTTTTTTAATTATATTTTTTGCTCAACAAGGGGGAGGGGGGGTAGTGAGCACTATTTCTTTTTTTTAATCAACCCCCCCCCCCCCCCCCCCCCCCCCCCCCTCTTGAGCAAAAAAAAGGGTAAAATTGTGGTAACCATCTTCTACTTTCTAGGGTGGGGGCCCGTCTACTAGGTCCAAGGTAAGAGGAGTAACAAGGGGGATAAAAGAAAGAAAATACTATACAGAAAGAAAGTAATAGAGGAAAAATGTTCAGAAGAGATAAATTTACAGCTAAGGTGGTCGATACAGAGAATGGAGGAAGAGAAAGATTAGAATGAACAAAGAACGCAAAGAAATTGTTTTAGCGGAATGGATTGATGAATAGAAATTACGCTATAGTCGAGCAATAACTCACGTTTCGCCTTGGACATAAACAAAAGCATTATCAAGCAAATATAATCACGCGTGTTTACTGCGGTCATTGAGAAGGGGTTTTAATTAACAAGTAAACACTATGCAACGACAGCCACAAGGGAGGGAAATAATTAAGATTTAATGAGTCTCTCGCTCGCTACGTCACCCAAGACTATGCACGACAACCAACCTGGCAGACGGCGTACGCGTAACCATGGAAACAAAAGAAAAGCCGCTAAGTCGACACATGCAGCTGGACACAATATGTAGGACTCGAAATGGACTTTCTATGGTTTGGGTACGAGTATTAAAGGAAAAAATAAGTATGAAAAATGAGTATGGTAAAACCGGTCACTCAAAGATTTTTTACTTTCTTGAGGCACTTCATGATCATTTTGAAGCGCAATTTGTTTAGGGCTTCAATATCACAACATATTACAGACACTGATAACATGTACCGGTAGCCCATCTGCCCATGCATTTCAGATTTGTAAGACTGGAACATTGTTAAGCAATTTATTAAACGGTTACTTGTCTCCGGGAGGGGTATATTAATTAATAATCAAATATCATGAAACCACAAAACAAAACTTGAGGGGATTTCTGTTTCTCTTTCCAAAACAGGCATACGAGATGAGTAGAATCCATGGTGGTCACTCTCCAATTTGAAATCTACAGTTTGTCTAATACCATGATTAAATAACACGATTACTTTGGCTCTATAACTCTAGTAATATTCAATAAGCTTCATTTTCTATAGAAATATTGTTAAATTGACATTCATGATTCATCTAAAATTTTGAACATTATCTTAATATAGTTCGAATCTGGAAACAATCAAGGAACCTATTTTACAAACTACAACTCTTCATTTACTAGCAGCCATAAGAAGCTTGGGCAATTTTGGTAAGAAATTAGTGAATAATTTTTGTTTTTTCCAAAACTGGATTTACTTTGACATGGATACGTCAATATTTAGTTCTTAAGCAATTTTCATATCTAACTACCTTATTTTAAATCTAATCTAAAGGAAGGCCTCTTCTCAATTCCAATTCCAATTTTTTTTTATGAGGCCTATATTTTGTCTTTGTAACACATGATATTCATAGCTACTTAAACAAGATAACGCTAAATTCCTTGTATAACGCTTAAACAATGACATAATTCTATTGCTTCCAACCTTCTCCCTCACATATTCCCTTTAAACTCACGGATTTAAGAACGAGATTAAAGAAACTTGCTCGCTCATAATCAGATCCAATTATGATTGATAAATTAAACTTTAATTATCGAAGATCTGTTAGGGCACAACCCGTCAGTCAGGCGGTGCCCCCTGAATTATGTCTGATCGATTTTTCCAGATTAGGGTCAAATCGTACTAATACGCGCGTAATTTTTAATAAAAATTGAATTATCGCACATCACTGTTGTAGAGGACAAATGCACAGTCGCAGATACAAACAATGTCATCATTAAAAGAAATAATAATTTGACACGGTTACTCTTCGTTTTTTTTTCACCAAGGCGAGAGACAGACGAATAACCCTGGTGGTAGATTGAAATGCTAACGTTGTTGTTTGAAACAAATCAAGAATAATATTATCATGATTATTTCTAACAAACAGACCTTGACATTTTTGAAGCATAATTGGAACCACGTATAACCAAATCGAAAGTGGCGTGAATGATAGCCTTAACGAACAGGTTATTATTATTTGACATTATTACAACTTGTTAAATTTATATAACATGACTACAAATAATCAATCAATATTCAAAGACGTGCTTGCTGAAGTTGTAGATTATTTTACGTCTGTTTCTCACCATATAATTTGAAGGTCAGAATAAAGGATTTAATTTGAGGGAAACATATTTCCATCCCTAGTTGATGATGAACAGCATTTGTATGGCGGCTTATATCTGTTTCAGAAAACATATATCTTCCTACATATATCTTCCTATATATCTTTTCAAATTTCTTCCCGCAAGATGTGAGTTCTATTTTCAACCTGGCCAAAGATATCTTTAATGGAGAAAATGTATTCCAAAGTTTGATATTGCAATGTCACTTCGTCATCAAACATTCAATATTAATTTGAAGGGACGTCTGCATGCGTGCAAGTAGCACTCACACATACCAGTAGATGGCGCTAATTTAATTAAATCTGCCCTTGTCCTTTTTGGCTGGCTTGCTGGCGTCGAACAGTCTGTATTGATTAACATGGGCACCTTGTTTGGGCTTTTAATTTGTCATAGATGATTGGTATCTTACAGTTTACCACGATTTATTTGGGCATAACAAACTGACCTGCATCCTAGGAATTCATCTTTCGGAAAAAAATGTATAAATATATCCGAATTATTTACTTCTAAACAAGGCGAGGAGTCATAATGATTTTAAATTTTAAATGAGACATGCTAACATTGTATTGTAATTCCATTCCAGATGCGACGATTCGAGAATTTTATAATGATAATATTCACTTCTTGTATAGCGCATAATACGTTATTAAATAACATCTATATGCGCTTCCAAAGAGCTTTAGCTCCGGCATCCGTTATGAGCGCACAGTGCATTTCAAGGAATAATCCTACCAGGTACCCATTTACCTCACCTGGGTTGAGTGTGGCAAATGTAGATTAATGTCTTGCCAAAGGACATTAGTGCCAAATGAACTTCTATATTTCATTAAAATTATGTTTATTTTTCGAAATCAATGAAGGAATGTGGTCTATTGTACCTGGGAGCAAGCTACCTGCATGGTTACACAGTGTATTTCCTATTCCTATTTTCATATAATCCATAATTATGCCTCATCATCAATGTTGAATCCACGATTTGTAAAGATCTTTCTGGACAGCTGAGAGATCACACTCGTGCCCGCGCCTGATTCATAATAATGTGCCTTTCACTTAGCCTCCAACTTCTCATCCGGGCGTTACCAGATTAGTTTGTGAAGGGGGGAGGAGGGGGTGAAACTGACAATTTGGTTGGCTGATAGTGCGTTTTTTTTTTTTTCGATATCACTTTATTAGCAATCATGATTATTAACAAAGGAATTAATGGTATAAACAATAGCATATAGGTCTATACTATAAAAAAAAATATTTAAAGCCCATCAATACTGGTGAACAGGAGGGATTATACTACCCTGCAAGGTCACTGGACAGGTGGTTATCTCATAAAAACAGTTTTCAATTAACATAAGAAAAGGGGGATCATGGGGGACCAACGGTCACCGATTAGACATTGTTTGCTATATAGAGGGCGCAAGTAGCTATAAGTAGTGCAGTGGGGATTTAAATTCAGTCAACCAATGATTGTTTGTTTTGGTTTTGGTTTCTATAGGCGTTTTTTTTCTTTCTTTTTTCTTTGTTTCAATATCACTTTATTATTAACAATCATGATTATTAACAAAGAAAGTAATGGTATATACAATAGCATAGGTACTACAAAAAAAGTATTTTAAGTTAGAACACAAAAAGGCCTAGGTCAATGTGTATCATTAACAATGCAGGGCTAATACTTCATACTATTCAGTATGAAATACGTGATACATAATGACAAAAGATGTCAAGGGCACGTTTAACATGTCGTCTGTTTGGGGTCAAAAGCGCGTCAACTCCATGTCAAAGTAATATGACTCAATGCCATTGTGGCTCCAAACAGACGATGTTACATAAATGCGAAATGGATATATAGAATTTAGAAAAAATACAAGTGACTGGTGTGTAAGTAAAATCATAAAGAAAACAACACATTATGCCCCTAAGCGGTTGAACAAGTATGTATGATGAACTAAGCATAACAAAGAAACAAAAACGACAAGAATGATAGGAAGTATATAGAAGGGGAGGAAAAGGGAGGAGAAAAAGAAGAAAAAGAAGACGAAGAAGAAGGAAAAGAAAAAGAGAGGAGCATTGGAAGGTAAGAGCAAAAGAAAAGAGAGAGAAAGAGAGACGGAGAGAGAAGAAGAAGAAGAAGAAGAATTAAAATGAAGGAAAACGTGAAGACAAAAAAGAGAGAAGGATAAAAAGAGGAGAAGAGAAAAAAGGGAAAGGAGGAGGAGCAGAAGAAGAAACGGGTGGAGAGCAAGAAACAGAGGAAGGAGAGGGCATGGAAAGGAGCTGTAGAGAAGGAGTAGGAAGGTTAAGTATGCATTAGAAAGCTGCTGTCCTCCCAAAATGGCTCTTCCTTAGAGCAGTAAAATGAAGAAGTTTATTTACTTGTTATTTATCTATTCATTTATTCTCGTCGTCGTCGTCGCCGTCGTTGTTTTTGCTGTTATTTGTTTAAAACAATGAAGAGTAGGTGGACGCAATCGCCCCTGTCCCCTGTGACGCCTTTCGTATGTATCTTTCTTAAATATTGTCTCAAGGATATTCCGATAATCAAACCAAAATTAATTATACTTTTACGCCTTGCTATTGATCAGCTTATGCATATGCCATCGATTCCATCCGAAAATTTTCCCCTCAATTTCACGCTCAATCGAAGCGCTAGTCATCCGCAATAATAGCCATCGCACGTTGCTCTGAATTAGTTACAATTCCGTTAGATATCATTTGCCTTTCTAGGAGGGATTTTATCCGCCAATTGCGTCACGGAATCAAAGGCTTAAAGGTAGATTACGTCCTTGTTTTGAATTTGCCGAATTAATGGGATGATCCACTAACTCCATGTGATAAAACAACCCGATCCCTATTAAACGCTATTTTGAGTCCGATTTTTCAGTCATTCCAAATTTACACCAATGACGTTCCGATCCCATCGAATCCTTATCTTTCACGAAATTCTATCATGTTCTTTGTATTTTGTCCAAATAAACTCGAAACTATGTAATAAATATGTTATGTTTATAATGCATTAGCACTTTTACCATAACCAGTAGCGGTTGAAGGGGGGGGGGGGGGGGGGGGGGCTTTGGGGTTCAGTCCCCCAATTTTTCTTGACTATAAAGGCGTTAATGTCTTTAGGAGCAGCACTTGTCTAAAAAATGGGTTCCAAAATCGCTGGGTAGGGGGGATGCTCCATCTGAGTTTTCCTTTTGTTTTTCTTGGGGGTTATTTTATTATTAGTTTTTTTCAAGATCTTCTCGAAACGACTTAAATCAAACGAAAGAATCAGGTTGTTTGTCCACGTTAAGGTGTCGTGGTCTAGTAAATAGGTCACCGGGCTGTCGAGATAACATGGTTCGCGGTTCGAGTCCCTCCGCGGCACTAATGTCCTTTGGCAAGATAGTTTTTATGGTTTTCCACACTCGACCCAGTTGAGGTAAATAGGTGCCTGGTAGGTTTTAATTCGCTGAACTACCAGGGCACCATAATGGAAGTTATACTCAAAAGCCGGGGGTAATATAATTGTCGAGCGCCAGGGGTGGCAAATCTGATATACATGAGCTCTATTCAAGAACCTACTATCATCTATTATTATCATTAATCCACCTGCGACAGGAATTTGGAATTTAGTCGCACTTCAATAGTGAGATTCTATGATTAGAACATGACTGGCTGAGATCCCAAATAGTCATAGAATTATCAGGATCAAATTGATGGTTATCCTAAGCCTTTCGACCAGAGTAAGGGGCTTATCGGCCTCCATCACGGCATCAGTCTGTATTGCCCCTATTTGAAATCCAATTGGATTATTTATCTCTGATCGAACGGTGTTCGATGCGACCCCCCCCCCCTCCCCCCAACCCTATTTAACATATTTTATTAGTTTAGAATTTATACACCGCAGGGTATTAAAGTTTGATAATCCTTCTTGAATAATTCAGCTTTTACTGCTCTTCGTGTAAAATGATATATATGAATGATGAATATTTTGATTGGCTTAATTAATAAGCTATTAACGAACTGAATGGGAATTAATTAAACAGATTTGACAATTTGAATCTTTCATAATTATTGCAATTAGTCATTTCTCACAATTTTGCCGTGTGAGGATCGTGTAGTCCTTGACGCCAACAAGTAGAACGTAATTGTATAATATCGTGCCACCATGCAGTTGCATACTTTCATTGGTTTGTCATTATGGTTTAACATTATTCCCAAAACTGTATTTTCCAGGGAGAGTTAAAACATACGTATATAGTACTTTCCAATAATAGTTTTAACAGTGAAGGACGAACCAGATAAAAAGAAACCGACATCCGACATTCTGAGGATGATTTTGACTTTATATAGTTTATACTTGTCCAAAGGGGTTTATTTGCGAGAATTATAAAACAAATAAATAAAAAAATTTAATTCATCATGTTCATGGAGTAATCATCATTGATTTTGTTGTTGTTGTTGTTGCTGTTTTGGCTTCAAAAGGGTCCCAATTGGCCAAAAATGATGGGGTTCAAATTTTCAGACCCTTCCTTCACTTCCTGGCGGTCCATATGATATTGGGCGCCAAAATGGCTTATATAACGCGCAATAGGGAAATTTGGTGTCTTCGGGAAAATTTGAACCCCTTCAATTTCTGATAGCTTGGACCCCAATGAATCCAAAAATGCAACCAAAAAAAGTCAACAAAGTCCTACGGGAGCTGTTTCAGTGACATACCGTACCACACTAATACCATGACGGGACTTCTGAGGACCCTTTCAAAATCCATTGTGGTACGATACATTCATGAATCACTGGGATCGCGCACCACTTATACATTAACTTTACTGGAGATGCGAAGGTTGAGGGTTCGAATCCCGACACGGCACCAATACCCTTTAGCAAGATATTAACCTGCACTTGCTACTCTCCACCCAGGTGTTAACCCGTTGACTACTGAATTATCTTATTCCCATAGGCTTAACACAGGGACAACCAGGTTCCAGTAAGCAATGGGTTAAATGTGTACCCGGTAGGATGCGACCGTCATTGTTGGTCAAACAGCTTTTAAGCGTCAAGTAACGCCTGGCTGGAATGCTCCCCAGGGAGTGGAGGTTGTTCACACAGTGTGTGCGGGCAAGTATTGAATCCAATGACTAGGGTAATAGTAATAAAGCGCTTAGAGAGATTTGTATTAAGCGCTCTATAAAAGTTGAATATTATTATTACAGATATTTGAGTCTAACTTACCAAATATCTGTGAAGACGACTTGATGACGCCAACTGCCTACTATGTCCACGGTCTCCAATTCGCCCAGTCTGTCGGCCCTCTCTATGTCTAGAATCGATGTTACGTCTTGGAGATGCAACTGGAGACGCGCCGTCACTTCCTGTGTGTGACTGTGACGTGACGGTGTCACGGACTGATAAACGTGACTGAGAACTAGCCAGATGGTCGTCTTCGTTAGGTTTCTTGTCGTTCTGTTGATGAGATTCAGCTACCCTTGAGTCCGTCCCACCTAGTGAGAGTGTAGAATCCCGTTCCAATATTGCATCGTTCCGTTCTGTTCCCCCACTCTCCAAGGTGCCGCTACCCATTGACGCGTCAAGACTCAAACTGCCATCGACGTTTTGTGCTTCATTTTCATCTTTTGGAACATCCTTCTTTTCCTCCGATGTATCAGGTTCATCTGTCATATCCGCAACCTTTCCTTCTGTAGTCTCATTACTGGCTTTGCTCTCCCCAAGGCACCCTTCCTTTGATTGGGAATATCTTCCAGACTGATCTTGAACTACCTTTTTACTATCTCTAAAACTATTTCTACTCTGAGAACTGTCTCTTGCACTTCTTGATTTGGGCCTTCCTTTATTCGAGTTTATGCGTTTCTTTTTCACATTATCCCCGTCTATCTTTCTGCTACCCGTGCGTCTAACTGTGGCAGTCTTGTTTTGTTTCGTTTGTCCATCTCCTTTCATCGCTGCATCACCTCCGCCCACCACCTCATCTCTCAGGGCAGGTTCTTGGTCCGTCGTCACCTGATCAGCGCTTCGTCTCAGTTGTTCTTCATCATCAGGGGTTAACGAGATACCCCCTCTTATGGTCTCGGATGCGGGGTTCGAATCCTTGTCAAGGTCAACGTTCTCCCCCTTCTCTTCATCCTTCACCAAACTTGATCTTAAATTAGCGCTGTCCCCTTTCCGATTCGCTGTACCCACAACCCCTTCATCCCCCACATGGTGAAGGTCACTTTCACCCTGGTGGGACGGACCACGCGTTTCGTCTTCGATCTCGAAGTTATTGTTCCTTTCTTCAGACAGTTTCGACGCTGAAATCGACGTCGAGGAGGATGCTGTTGTCCCTGTCTGTACCTCCGAGTTCAAAGTCTGGTCCCCTACATCATTACCCGTGGTCGCATCAAAAGTTGGCTGAATTACCTTGTCATCCGACATCGTAGACTTCGTTGATTTCTTTTCCACGAAAACAGAGATTCAACGCCACCAGGGTGTTAAAAGAAACGCGGATGGATCAAACAGTGCAGACGTTACGAAATTAGTTTCCCGCTCTCGGTGTACACCATAAAATTCCAGTTTTATAAAGCTGCTTCATTAGATGAAGAGAAATGATGTAGAAAAGTTATCTATGTCAAAACGATATGCTGATGTCATTAGTTCATGACCAAGTCTTTTTGGAAATACCGGACTGAATGAATGAGCGAGCTTCACTAAAAAAAAGGATATGTTGGTTATTTGGGGAACTAAACAAAAATGGTAATGATTTCAGACTCTCTTTAGCAGCCTATCAATGACTCGGTCATGTTTCGAGAGAGGGCGTACTTGCAGCATATGAGGTTGTCATGGGGTTGCGCGCTTGCTCGCACGGGGGCGGAAACTGAAGGTTAAGTATAGCCCCTGCTATATATAAGTACAGATGGAGAGTAGCGATATGAAAATTATTGAATTAGATGATACAAGGTTAAATGTTTAAGGTGTTAGGGCAAAACATGTCTATAGCATACATGTACATTACCCCCCTCTCCCCTTCTTTTTTCAAATGTAAAGATGCCAGGGGACCTTGCATCTCGCTCTTGTTTTTTTTTCTTCTCTTTTTCTCCTGTTTTTTTTTCTCCCTACAACATAACGTTATCTCAAGTAGACCATGATGAACGGTTCGATATAACGACCTCAGGTGGAAACATGCTTGAGTATAGCCCCTGCTTCAAAAGTACATATGGGGACTAGAGATATGAGAATTATTGAATTAGATGATGCAGAGTAATGTGTTTAAGGTGTTTAATAAAACTGAGGTGGAGATCTATACTGTAGAGAACATTTTCCCCCTTTTAAAAAAGTCAAGATCCCAGGCACGTTTCAGGTGTCCTTGATTTTCGCTTTTCCCCCCCCCCCTTCTTTTAATTTGTTTACCCCCATAAAACACAATCCTAGTGCAGGTCGGCAATGAGGAATAGAGGAATATTCTTTCCCCGAGGTTGCGACATGAGGAAAGTATAGCCCCTGCTGCATAGAAATCTAGATCGTTCTGAGGCGTATCCAACACAAGCATAAAGTATGCTTTAGGGATTTACGCCACTGTTAATTTGCCTTATTAAATTGCTTATTTCCACATGTGGGTACGAAATTAATACAATTAATAAAACAAGAAATGGAAGAAAATAAGTAGTAACTACTTTTGAATAATCAACTTAAGGCAATATTCAGTAAATGGGCCTCTCTCTCTTTTAGCAGTGCTCAGCTCATTGGAAAGGAAATTGAATGTAAACGTTTGAGATGTTAAGTTTAGAGCAAAACTGTTTCTTTCGTATTTTAGATAGCAGAAGAGATCCTCACTGTGAATCTGATAGGGTAATTACTTCTATCCGATCACCGTGATGCCAAATTAAGATTTGCATGTTGAAACTTTTCTCCCCTTTTTTAAATTTGTTTTAACTTTCTTTCAATTTGTATTTCTTTCTTTCCCCTTCCAGAGGTTTCTTTGATCCTTTATATACTTTAGCGACTTGATTATTTTGTTATGTTAAACTGATGTAGAAAATTGTTATGCAATAAGATGCGCGTCATCTTATGTCAACACGTGGACTAATTGTCGGATATATACATATTATATCCTGCATCAAAAATTTGTTGGCTTTTGATTGGTTGAGAGCTCGTCACATGACCAGAAATATTTGACCTATTTTTACAAAGTACTACATGAGAGTACTATTTTGGTTTACTATTTAGGAGTTGAAAAAAAAATGTGATTTTTTTTTTTTTTTAATTTAATCATTTTTTTTTCTTCAAATCTTTAATTTAATGAAAACAAAATATTTTAAATCTTTTTAGATAAAAATTGACATTTTTTTTGTTCTAAATTTTTTTTTCCCAAAAATGTTTTTTGTTATTTCATTTGTTATTTTAAATATTTTTTTTGATGCAGGATATAAAACAAATATACCATGCCTTCTATTCGAGGTACTGGTTAAACTATGGGCCTCGGTGACTCCAAAAGAACCATTTGCTTCGGGGCTGCGCCCCTCAGCAAATAGTAATATTGGAGTCACCTCTTGCGCATTGTTTTAACCAGAAACTCTCAAGGCAGTGTATATTTGTATATTATTACCATTAAGTTACAATAATTTTTACTATTTCTTACCTCTTTTCTCTTCTATTTTTTGAAATGCTTTGAGTGAGAGAGAGAGAGAGAGAGAGAGAGAGCGAGAGGGAGAGAGAGAGAGAGAGAGAGAGAGAGAGAGAGAGAGAGAAAGAGAGAAAGAGAGCGAGAGAGAAAGAAGGGGGTATAAAAGAGGAAAAAATATAATAAATAGAGGAGATATTCTAAAAGAGACCGAGTGAGGGCGCAAGATAGACGGAACAACAAGAGAGTGTGTGAGACCATAGACATGATTAAGGTAGAAATGAGGTGGGGGGTCCTAACGAAGTATATAAAGTAAGTGAGGTATATGATAAAGGTGGTTAACAAAGTAAAGAGATAGAGAAAGAGAGATGGATGGCAGGGAGATAAAAGAAACAGAAAGGGAATGAAATACGAATGAGAGTTTGATAGAGTCAGGTGGACAAAAGACAAAATTGGGAGTAAAATATATATGAGAAATGGAGAGGATTAAGGTGAATGAGAGAGAGAGAGAGAGAGAGAGAGAGAGAGAGAGAGAGAGAGAGAGAGAGAGAGAGAGAGAGAGAGAGAGAGAGAGAGAGAGGAAGAGAGGGAGAGAGTGAAAGAGGGAGAGAGTGAAAGGGAAAGAGAGAGCGAAAATGTATATACATAAAGGGAACAGAAATAAGTAAACAAAAATATAATGGAAACAGAAAGAGATAAATTTAGATTGTAGTACATATATAGAGAGTAAAGAAAGGTTTGTGGAGGGGGGGGGGGGGTATAAACTGATGAAAGGATTATTAAAAGGAAAATACGAGGAAGGTTAGTCTTCAGAATAGAGAGGAAACAGCAAAATAAGGGGATAGCTCGAAAATTGAGGCTCAAACGGTGTGATAATGATATTTAGATTTTTTGTGTAGTTGTAGGAATTGTTTTATTAAGCTGAACGAGTGATACCGATCAGAAATAAAGAACCCCTCTCTCTCTACAAACATTTCAAAAGGTGCTGTACAAGGCTATTAAAATGCCTTTGATCAGTTTCTCGAAAGTCTTAGTGATTCTGTTCGGGTTGAATGATCATAATAAAACTTGAGAAAAATAAATTACCCTACCATGAGATGGGGTTACCCCCTAGCTTCCAGCCCCTCCCCTTTCCTCACAATTGTATAGGCCAACTGAATATACCTCCTGCTATATCACACCCCCCCCCCCCCGCCCATACCCCCATGCTATTGTGCACCCAAATAAGAGTACAATAGCACCCCACCCCCATGGAACCTATCTTACAGCGTATACATCACTAATCGATTGGTGCACAATAGAAAACATAGACGAAACAGAGAGATCGTCACGGGGGCCTTGTTACGTATCAAACGTGAATCCCGTACCAATCGATATAAGTCCATCAAACTCTGCAAAGTCAAACATCCAATACAAGAAACAGCTAGGAAAATTTATTTGCGGTGGTCTAGGTTAACCTTTTCCCTAAACCAAGCAGGGGGCCTTGATGATATCTATCCATAGTAGTAGATTGATAAAGTGATCAACAACTACACCTTTTTTTAAATTTTGTTACTCCTTATAGAATTAATGTAGTATACATAAGGGTAAAATTTAATATCCTTTCTTACAAAGTAGCCACCGTTTCTTAAATTTACACCAAGCATCTATATTTATTCATTAGTCTCCTCAAATGGTAATGATTTTTTTCTCCATCATCCTCGAATTACAAATATCATACTTCAGCTAACTTTATTCGCATGTCTACATGGGTTAACTTAATCAATATACCTAGTATTTCATTATAATTTCAATGTTTAATTCCATATAATATATTCAACTATTGTCTTGTCTCTATTCTAAAAGTTTTTTAATTGCAAAAATATTCATGAGATTACTATGAATGATCTTATCAAAATAAAAAGTATCCTCACCACGTTGGAATAGGAACCTTATGAATATTCATACCCTAATTTCGCTCCAACGAACAATAACAGAAGTATCGACCCTTCTTACGAAGGGGTGCGTGAATGCCCCCCTTCCACCAGACCGGCGGGTGGTGTAGTCATAGAATATTTACCCTGTGTGCAAACAGGAAAACCTTCAAGCGTACACCACAATACTTTGCTCATTATCTCTCAACGACTCTTCATTTGTTGTCTGCGTCCTATCACCGCTATTCCACATCATTATACAGGCTTCCCTGGTGGCTTTTCACCCCCAAGAAAACGTTTGATTTTCGCTCGAGAAATTGATTTTATAATATAAGATCAGGAGATGACATCATTTTGCATCCTTGATCTCTGAAGGAAACAGATGACAGTGGTTTTATGCATTCCACAGTGACTAATTACTATCTATTGGAATGGACAATTGATGAGTGGTCGAACAAGGTTGGGCTGTGGTCCCGGCTGTGGTTCTTCGCGATGTTATTCAGCTTCGATTAAAGCAGTTTCATCAAGGAACTCACATTTGATTAGAATAATATGACTGTTGATTGCATCCTGTCTGGCCGTGATGTGGCATTTAATGAAACCTGACAAGTTTTCTCCTTTTCGATTGTCACTGTAAACATGGCAACGGCCACACTGACCAACGTGATACATTACATTTGAGATACACAAGTGACTTCTGCACGTCCGCTTTCAGTCCTTTTTCTACTTATTTGTTGTTTATTGTGGATTTGAAATAAACTGATCAACTTCATGAATACATTTGTGCTGCATCAGTGCATGGACTAGTGGTCACTTAGGCATAAATACTGAACTATTTGATCATCCGTGTAAGTGAGTGTCTGCTTCTGTTGTTGGTTGTGGATTTTGTAGGAACTTCTTTGGCT